CCAGGTGAACCTGCCCAAGTTGCAGATCCATGAGCAAAATAAACGCTGACATTGATTTAAGCCATTGGATTTTGGGATGGCTGTTATGCAGCAACAGATAACTGAAGAACCTTATATTCACCTCAGTTTCTCCAAACTGTTATACACATATTATTCATTCAACAAACCTTTATTGGATGAATACTCTGTGCTAGGATCAGTACAGATACGATTTCTACATTCATGGATGATACATTTCAGCTGCCACCATGTTCCTTCAGTGTGTCCCCTTTGCATGCAAAATAAAATTCATACTCCTCGGCTCTCCGCAAATGGTGCCACTCTACTGCTCCATTGTCACCACACCTGTGTCATCCTGACTTGCTCTCCATTCTCCAGTCTCTACGCCTTCGCTCATGTGGTCCTTTCCACCTGCAATGCTTCTGCTCTGCCCCATCTCAACCTTCAAGGACCTGCTGTGAAAACTCTCGCCCTGGCAAGGCCCCCCTCCCCGACTTCTCCCTTAAAATGAAGCGACACCACCTTGTAGTCCCACAGCGCTTACCCCAGATTGCACAGTTTCTGTCTGCCCTCCACCTCTCTTGAAACTCTCTAGACTGTGACTCCCTGGAGGAGGGATCCTGGTCTCTCCCTCCTGTCTTCCAGCAGTGTCTGGCACCGGGCCCAGTGCTTAGAAACCCCCAGTAAACATTCGTTATTGCAACTATAGCACAACCAGAATCAGAACCAGATCAGTCTGGTCTCCAGAATCCCTGTCTCCAGGACTTTACTGGCTTCTTTTGATACCATGAAGCCAGGGAAAATATCCCACCGATAGTGGGTATCTGGTTGTCGGAAGAAGACCTTGGAATGGGCCAGGGGCAGACAGGATTGCTGTGTGGGGAGCCACAGAGGGCAGTGAGTGAAGAGAGCCCAACTCCTGGCTATGGGTTTGAGGTACATCCCTTCCTCCCTCTCTTCCTTCCCTTTTTTCCTGTCTATAGCCCCGAGGACACACTTCTGGAGGGGAAACAAGCAGTTTCTTTGGTTCTCTTCTCCTCCAACTCCAGATCATATCTGAAAACATGTCTATTCTGAGGGCACAGCTGCACAGAAGACAAAGCCCCACCATGGAGTGTACGCTTCCCTTTGAACGCTAGGGCCGGTCTTGCTGTTCTTCCTCCCCTGCGGCTTCTGAGGAACCCTTCCTCCATGAGCTGTCTCTCCTGCGCCCGTCTGACTGGAACTGCTGCCCAGTCCCCTGTGAGTGTTGCTTGCTCTCCTGGGCCTGATTTTGGCTGTATGTTGCCTGGCCTGCTCCTTGGGGGCATATAGCGGGGGAAGTCTTCCATTGTTTTCCTCCCAGGTGTCTTGGCTCAACTCCTTCAGACTGAGCAGGAGCAGAGTGGGGTGGGCACAATGTTTTCTGTAGACTTTTCTCCCTAAATTATCTCTTTCTGGGAGCTTGGAGGAGCTTATATGTCTCACTGTAGATACAACCTCTCCCTTCCCTTAGTCACAGGAAGGGTTGGGGAAAGCTCTTCCCAAGAATGGTCCCTGAAAAGTGGCTCTGATTGAGCTGCAGATGGGGCACATTCTAGATGCTCAACAGCCCAGCTCTTGGGGGCAGGACTGAGCACTTTTCTCTTTGTCCCAGATGTGGGGGTAGCGGAGGTGGGAAGTTGGCGGGAGGCTTCTCCATCAGCTCTTCTGTTGTCCTTTACCTCCTAGTGCCTGGCATCTGTGACCGCAGGAAGGACACCTTGGGGAGAGCTTGTCTCATCTCATCTCACAGCCTCGATTCCTCGTCTCAGTTCTTGACTGTGGGGGTGGCTGAGTAGGACTGCCTTCAGGCTCTACCCGGAAGCCTCCAAGGAAGTCAGAAATGTGCATTTGGCTTGGACTTCTGAGTATGTGTGTGTGTGTGAGTGTGTGTGAGTGTGTAGGGGAGTGATTAGGGGAGGGGGAGAGAGGGAGATATCTGGCTCTCCTTAGCCTGAAGGAACAACTCTCTTATTGCCTCTCTGCACAGAAGGAGGGCTACTCCGTGCCTGGCCTTCTCTCTTTTAGGGTCCCTCCACGTCCTTTGTCTTCCCTTTGGGATAAGAGCAGAGGGCTGAACCAACAATGTGGGCACAGCAGTGGGAGGACAGCTGGCCAGGTCAGATGAGTGGCCCCTCCCCTTCAGGGCCTGGCTCCCTCTCCCTTGGTCTGGAGAGAACTTTTTCCATTGTCCCCCTCTCAGCCCATTCTCAGCTGGCCTTTGCTCACTTTCTCTCAATACCCTGATACCAATACCCTGGAGGGAGGACAGTCCACTCACATGGGAATCACTTGCAACTTATCGCAGGCAACCTAGCAGCCAAGGGTGGCCATGGGGTGGGGCATGGGCTGGGCCAGTCATGGACTGGGCTCCCCCCAGAACCCAGATGTGTTGGGGCCACCTGATTGCCAAATCACAGAGGAGGGGCAGCCTGTGCCACTGAGGGCCCTGGGCATGCCGGCGAGAGCGAGGAAGCCGCTGGCGGTGGAGACGGCCTGAGGGATGACTGCACAGGCAAGAGCCTCTGGACTTTTTTAGCACCGGCTGGTGGAGCCACCTCCTTCTCTCCCACTGGCTGCCTCCCTGAGTCACTGCCCACCCACCAGCAAATAAAAAAGGGTGTCATCTGCTGGACAGTGGCCCCATTTGGCCCCAGTATTTGCATCTTTTTGCTCTGGGGTGGAAGGTGAGAGTCTGAGTAGGGTGGTCTCACCACGACCTTTCTTTCTGTGCCTTCTTCCTTCCAGACTCGGCTTCCTTCCCTGCCCTTTTTTCCTCCCCTCCCCCAACACCCCATGATGATGCTTGCTGGTGACAAGACTCAGTCCCTTGCTCCAAGGACAGAGGCAGCTGCAAGCCCTCAGGAGCCCCCACATGGCCCCATCCATCTAGACAGGTCTCTGATCGGGCTGCAGGGAGGGGACCCTGGCCGGCTGCTCAGCGGCAACCCCTCCCCGCTGCCCGCCCACTCAGCTGTCAGCACTCTCCTCCCCGCCCTGGCCTTCCCGAGGCCCTGCCTGGCTGCTCCGGCTCTGGACACCTCACCCCAAAGACCCTTACTCAGACCCAGGCAGGCGGCGGGCAGGCACCCCGCCTGGCCTTGACGTCCCCAGGCCTCCTTGCCTAAATAAGGGAGCTGCAGCAGGAGTGAGCCAGCTGGCCGGGGGAGGGGCCTGCGGCTGGGCCAGGGTTTTCCGAGGGGCTGGGCCGTGGCCGTCGCCCGTAGGGCCCGGAGCCCGCGGATTGGGCCCGCACGGCTGGCCCTGCGCTACAGGAGGAGGGCGGGCCGCCCGCACGCGGGGATCCCCTGGCTAGAACCTCATGCTCAGGGCCTCTCTTTGATCCCGCAGCCAGGAGGCCACAACTCCTATCAGAATGTCCCTCTCTGCGTAGCCCCCATGCAGAGCCTGGCATAACCTCAGGGTGTGTGTGTGTGTGTGTGTGTGTGTGTGTGTGTGTGTGTTGTGGGGGGCGTGCCCCTCCTAAGTTTCACCCACCCTTGTGTCAAATCACTGCTGGCCTGGGGCCTCCAGATTGTCTTGCCTTTCCCACTTCCCGAGTCTCCCCTGACCCTGGGCTCATCTCCCCAAGGCCCAGGTCTTGCCCCTGTCACCGCCAGTAGGCACTGAGCGCAGGCTGTGTGTACCGAGCCAGCGCTTGGCGCGGTGGTGCACTAGGGCACAGGCACGGGCCTTGCCCTGCAAACCAGGGTTCTCGGCCCCCAGTTAGGGATGAGCATGGAATCTCTACCCACCTCCCTGGCCGCCTCCAAGCGGGCTGGAGCACCTGTCCTCACGGTTCCCACCCCCTAAGGGTCCCTTCCCCCTCTCCGGGGTGCGCGAGTCCCGGGGGCTCCTGGGCAGAGCGGGGGGCTGGGGCGGGGGAGCCCTCGGCGCGGCCCAGCCAATGGGAAGGGCGGGCGCGCGGGGTGGGGGGGAGGGCGGCGCTGCGGGCGCGCGGCTGGCGGGAGGGGGCCGGGAGGCGGGGGCCGGAGCGGGGCGCGCGCCGCATTAACCCTCTCCGGCCGGGCCGGCCGCAGGCCTGCCGAGCCGCGGGCGCCGGGCGGCAGTCGGCCGCGGCGGCGGCGGCGGCGGCGGCGGCACGCCGGGAGCCGCTCGGCCGGCGGGCGCAGCGCGGGGACGCGGCGGAGCGGGGCTCGGGCTCGGCGGGGCGCAGAACAGGTGTGCGGGCGGCGGGCGGCTCGAGCTCAGGCGGCTCCAGGCCGGGCCCGCGGTCCAGAGCCGGGAGCCGAGCGGGGACCCCGCGCCCGCAGTCTAGTCTCGGCCCCGCCCGTGCTCAGCTTGGCCGCGGGGTGCGGAGACCACGGCCCGGCCGGGCCACCCGAAGCCTAGTGCTGGGCCGGGCCGGGCCGGGGTGGGTGGGGGCCCGCCCGGCCCGCCCATGGGCTCAGGATGCCGGTGCGGAGGGGCCACGTCGCTCCGCAGAACACCTTCCTGGACACCATCATCCGCAAGTTTGAGGGCCAGAGTGAGTGGGGGAGGGGGCCGGGCGGGGAAGGGGCTCTGGGGGCGGGCCGAGCTCTTCGGAGTGTGGATGGGGGGCGTGCCCGGGCCGTGTGCGTCGCTAAGTGCAATCAGTGGGGGCTGGTGGGCCTCAGGCCCTGGCCAGGGGACGCGGGGACAAGTGTTGGTGCTGGGGGGCCCGTAGGCATGGGGCCAAGGGGCATAGTATTGGAGCTTGGAGCAGAAGGCTCAGCGCAGGTTTTTGGGGTCGGAGAATGTGACACTCCGAGTGTGCAGGAAAGGGAGGGTGGCATGGGAGAGTGCAGGTGTCCCCAACTCTGGGTGCCTGGACGTGGATGGCGCTTTGTTCGTGCAAGGACATGAGAGTGTATGTAACCCAAACTGTGGGACCCTAAAAGTACAGTGGGCATGCAGATCTTTTCTTATTATTTGTTTATTTATTCTTAGAGGTGGGAGTCTCACTGTGTTGCCCAGGCTGGTCTCTAACTCCTGGCCTCAAACAATCCTCCTGTTTTGGCCTCCCAAAGTGCTGGGATTACAGGCATGAGCCACCGTGCCTGGCCAGCGTACCAATCTTGACTGTGTTCAATGTGAAGGACTGAAAGCTAAGAATGTAGGGTCAGTGCCTAATCTGCTCAAGTGTGTATGTGGGGTGTCACCCGTGAGTTAGACCCTGCTTAGGCAGTGGGAGGTGTCTTTAACAAGGTTCAAGATTGTGGGCCCTGTGGTGAGAGGGTGGCCTGGGGCTGAAGCTCTGCTTTGAAGGTAACCTGCTTCCCTTGGTGTCCCTATGTTGTGGATTTTCCTGCCTTGGGCACCGTCCCCCAAGCCCCTTGTAGTGACGACAAGCACCTCTAATGCTGACCTGGTAGGGGAGGCTTCTAGAAGTGTCCCATGATAAGTAAATGTTCTGGGTGTGGGTGTTTGCACCCACCCGGTGTTCATGTGCCTGTCCCCAAGGCCACATGTGCCACAGTGGGTGTGACTGCCAAGGGCCCTGGGAGTTGGGAGAGGGTGACATTCCTTGCCCATGACCCTGTGAACACAGGACAGTGTGTGCTTGTAACTGTGGTAGGGGGAGGGCGGGCTCTGTTCGATGGGCAGTATCGTCTGAAGCGAGGAACAAGATGATCCTGAGGGGGTGGAGACAGTCACATTGGTGGAGGACCTCACCCTGGGGCTCTCCTTCCCGCGAGCTTGGGGAGGCTGTGCAGGCACAGGGACAGAGAACCTGTGCTGGGTTGGGGGGGTGCTGGCTTCTAGCCCCAGTTCTGCCACCCACTGTCTTGTGACCTTGAGGGATTCTCTGCTCCCTCTAGGTCTCAGTTTCCACCTCTTGGAGGAGGGGCAGGCCTTTGGTCCCGGTATTCCAGGATCTCCGTGGGGGGGGGTGGCCTTCGAAGAAATTTGCTCTTCTCTCCCAGGCCTGGGAGTGAGGATGGGAGCAGTTTTGCTTCTGTGACGCTGGTGTGTGTGTTGCGGGTACTCTGGACTGCCTTGGGCTGAGGTGGAGATGGAGGCTGAGTTGGGGGTCTGTTCATGTGACAGGAAGCTCTCATTCCTGGGGTCGGTGGCTGCCTGGGAGGTTTAGGGGGCCTCAGGAACTGACCTAAAGATGACTCAACTCCAGAAAGTAACTTCCTGGAAGCCAGGGGAAGGGAGGGCCCAGAAAGGCAGGAGGAGGCCAGAGCCTAATGGGCTGGGCTGGTCTCAGGGTACCCCTGCAGCAGCATGGCCTTGTTGTCTGGATTGCCCAGGGCTGCAGCCTAAGGGCTGTGCCTGTAGGGAGGGGACGGGGAGGGTTCCAATTGCTACAGAAATCCCTGGCATTAATGGCCAAAGTGGCCGGAAACTTCTGCTTATAAAAAAAGCTTTTATCCCCCGAGCATGATGGCTGGCACAAGCTGAGGCTGCCTGCCTGCTGCTCACCTGCCAGCCTGGCTCTTGGGGCGGGCACAGAGCCTCGGAGCCAAGTCTAGTGGAAATGGAGCCACTGGGCTCCTCTCCTTGATGGGGCTAAACTGAGAAAGGCCTTACGTCCCTGGGAAAAGGTCCCCTTTCCTGGGTCTATTTTCTAAAGTGGGCCAGTGTCTCAGGCTCATCCCAGGCTCCAGGTATTGTCAGTGTTTGGAGCTGCAGGTCCCTTTCCTTGCTCCCTCTGACCTTGGACTTCTGCCTGTGACCCTCAGCCTATTCCTCTGCCAGACCGAGGTTCAAAAGCTGGCACTGGCAAGACTTAGGCATGGTGCCGAACTTCCCTTGAGCCTCAGTTTCATCCATAAAACGAGGATGAGGACATCTACTTAGAGGGTTATCAGAGCATCAAATGAGACAAAGGTTGTAGGTGCTCAATGTGTTACTTCCCTCCCAGCCCCCAGCTGCCCTCAGAGGGGGTTCGGAAGTCCCAGGAGGTACTGACCTGGCAGGATCCTCAGACACTTGGGATTTCCTAGGGAGCCTCCGGTAAGGAGTGGCTCAGGGAGCGCCCCCCTAGTCTGGAGAGCAGGGGTCTAGAGGAAGAATCCAGAGGAGCCGGTGCAAAGGGAAGGCTGGCCGCCATCTCTGGCCTTTCCCAGGCTCCCTCTCCAGGCCCAGTGTTTATCCCTCCGCCGCGGCTGCTGACACGCGTTGCTGACACCCGCCCAGGCTGGCCTCGGCCCCGGGCGCGGAGGGGGCGGCGGGCTGCTGGCGGCCAGCCGGAGGGAAGCCACGCAGCCAGCCAGGCAGGGGAGGGGGCGCGCCGAGGCACCTGTGTCTGGGCACAGCTGCGTTCGCCCCCTGCTGGGGACCCCAGTCCCTGCTGTGCTCCCTGGGGCGGGGAGTCCCCGGGCGGCTGCGTGTGACAAGTGAATGTGGGTAAGGGCTGGGAGACCCGGGGACCAGGGTCCCAGCTCACGTGCCGGCTCCTCCCCACCCCCCAGGCCGCAAGTTCATCATCGCCAACGCTCGGGTGGAGAACTGCGCCGTCATCTACTGCAACGACGGCTTCTGCGAGCTGTGTGGCTACTCGCGGGCCGAGGTGATGCAGCGGCCCTGCACCTGCGACTTCCTGCACGGGCCGCGCACGCAGCGCCGCGCTGCGGCGCAGATCGCGCAGGCCCTGCTGGGCGCTGAGGAGCGCAAAGTGGAGATCGCCTTCTACCGTAAAGATGGTAGGCGCGGGCCGGGGCGGGGCCACGGGAGGGGCGGGGCCTAGCGGGCCGGGGCGGGGCCTAGCGGGCCGGGGCGGGGCCTAGCGGGCCGGGGCGGGGCCTGGAGGTATGTGAGGTGGGTTAGGAGGGGCTCTTGCGGTGTGCCAGGTGGGAGGCGTGATCTGCCTCTCCCCACCTCACTCTGGTAGATGGTTTTCGGGGTTTCCAGGGGGTCTGCTAGGCTGTGGGCCTGGAGCCTCGGGTTCCTTCTTCTCTGGACAGGTGTGGGCACATTGAACAAGGTGGTCTAGAGTTAGGCCAGGCTGGGATGGCAGGTGCGCGCGTGGATGGAGTTAATAGGTCAGGCTGGCAGCTAGAGACTGACCTCTGGCCACAGGCCTCTGGCTATCCTAGGGCAGTCCCTGCCAGGTGACTAGTCTGAGAAGATGTCAGGGAAGGTGAGGCCCTGGAGGGCTGCAGGACTCTGGCTTGCTCTCTGCCTTCCTCTCCTAGCTCCTTTCTTTTCTGCACTTCAATGGCACCTGGAGGACGTGTGTGTCTTTCCTGGCACCTCAGTTCCCTTTGTCTCATCTGTTGAGCGCCCTGCCCTGCTACCCCCTCCTGCGCCAGGTGTCTCTGCTCAGCCACCGCCTTCCAGCCCTGCTGCTCTGGGCTTCCGGAGAGCAGATAAACAGAGCCTGGGGCGGGGCTGCTCCCACGCCACAGCTGCCCTGTTGGGGTGGGCTCTGCTCGGGCAGGGCAGTGCAGCAGGGCTGGGGCCTGCGGGCACCACAGGGCTGGGCTGCCCAAACCCTGCTACTCACCAGTGTGCTTCTGATAAGCATTTACTGAGCCCACGCAACGCTAGGCTCTTAGAGATGGAGCAGTCTGCAGGACCCACGAGGCTTCTGCCCTCCAGGAGCTTGCCTGTTGCAGGAGGTGAGCATGCTCTGCCTCCTGCTGGGAGCCAGCCAGCCAGCCAGCCAGCCCCATGCCCCATGCCCCATCCATCCTTGTGTGCTCAGGGTTGGTGGAGGCTGTCCCGGGAAGGCCCGAATCCTCCATAGCCCTGCTTGTGCAGGGTTCAGTCTGCGGCATCGGTGGCCCTGTGGAAAAGGGTTTGCTCACAGCAAATCAGGGCTCTAGCTGGCAGGAGGCCAGGGCTGTGAGGCTAGATTTAAGCCCTGAAGGCAGTGGATGGTTTCTAGGGGCTGGACTCTGGGCTCAATGTTTCCCTTAAATTATCTCATGCAATCTGCACAACCACCCTGGGAGGTAGATACTATTTTTATCTCCATTGTATGGATGAGGAAACTGAAGTTCAGAGAAATTAAGCAACTTCCCCACAGTCACACAACTAGAAAGTGACAGTGCTGGGACACAGCCCACGGCTGTTTGACTAGAGCCCTACCTGCTCTGTTCTGCTGTCACATATTGCAAATGATGCCAAATAGCTACAGGTCTATCTGTATGCTGTACATTATTTTATGTGAAAGTTTGTTTTAAAAGTTTGCAAACCACTGGTGCAATGGAAGGAATATGCTCCCATGAGTCCTGGGTTCATGTCTAGCACTGGAAATGACATACGACTGGACAGGTTGGTTGACTTCCTGAGCCTGTTTCTGCGTCTGGGATAATGTGGCTCCCTGGGGAAGCTCACAAGGACGCTGAGCTCTCTCTTGAGTGCCTGCAGTGGGCCTCGTTCCACAAACGTGCCAGTCCCATTGCGGGTGTCACTTGTGCCGGGGGATTTGGCCCCTTGGCAGCAAGGTCTGAGTGTTTCTGTCTTTGGCCTTAGTATGTGGTGATGATGGGGTCCACCTAGGTGGAGCTGTCCCTCCCTCCTAGTCCAGGCTGGCTCCTTGGGGAGAGGATGTTCATGGGACTCCTGCTGCAAAGAAGATACTGTGGAATCTCGGTGGCCTCCAGGATCACCTAATCCAGCCTGCTCAAGTTACAGATGGAGGAGCTGAGAAGCAGAGGTCCGATTACCAGCGAATCAGTGGAGGGAGAGGGACTAGGGCCCAGGGCCCCCGGTCAAGTTCAAACTCTTTCCCCTCTCCAGGTTACAACTCCAAGTGGGGCTGTGACCCAGAAAGCCCCATGCCAGCCATCTTTGCCTGCCCCCTTTGTTGCTCTCACCTAGTTTCCATGGGGCTCAGGTATCTCCTGTTGGCCAAGGCTGGCCTTGGCCCTTGGGCACCTAGGACCCCACTTCTCCTGGCACTCTAGGCCTAGGGCGATGCAGACAGAGTTTATTAACCTCCTCTTCCTCGGCACGGAAACACTCAGCCCATTGTGCGATCCCCGGGACCCGGGCTGGGCTGTATGCATGTGTGTGCGTATGGGCCAGGTAGAGGTGGAGATGAGGAATGCCAGTGCCACCTCTTGTCCTGTCCAGGCCTTTCTCGGGGTCTCTTCCTGGGCCAGCCCTGGGGAAGGGGGAGCTGGGCAGGAGGCGGGGCCTTCTGCTGGCAGGCGCCGCAGTGGACAGCTGTGCTGTGTCGGTGCCTCCAGCCTAGCTCTGTGCAGTGTCAGGGCCTGGAGCCAGACAGCCCCATTATTTAGTTGCTGGGACTGCTGGGAGGTGGAGAGGCTAGACTGGGGGAGTATGGGCTGGAGGGAGAGACACGGGGTGCCTGGGACTCACTGGCTCTGTGCCAAATCCCCTTAAAACCAGACCCAGGCTTAAGATGGAATTGGGAGCAGAGCCCAGTGGGGCTGGCTGGTGGTGACACCCTTGCAGGGCCCTGAGGAGGCACTCTGGGCAGCAGGTGCTGGCTGCGTGCACACTTGTGCTCCCACATTGCCCTGGGGGATCTGTGGCTGCTCCTCTACCAGCCCTCGAGGAGGTCCCCTTCTCTGTCCCCTGTCCCCTGTCCTCTGTGTTCTCTCTCTCCCCTCTTTGTTTCCATCTCTGCTCCCCTCTTCGCCTCCCCGCTGCTGTGCTCAGTCTGCCTGTGCCCCGTCCTAGGGCATCTCCCCACTGCCCCATCTCCAGCCTCCCTGCCTTTGTTTCTGGCTGCCTGCATGGCGACTTTGTCCCTCCCTGCCCGCGAGGCGACTCTCTGTGCCCTTGCTCTCTATCGCCTTTTCCCTGCATCTGTCTCTCTCAGTCCCTTGCTTCAGCACCCCTGAGCCCTCCTCCGTGCCTCTTTCCCTCTTCCCCAGTGTCCCCCGCCCCTCAGGGCCTCTATCTCCAAGGCTGTCTAGCTCCCCATACCTCAGACTGTCCTGGCCTGGCTCCATGTCCTTATGTCCCCGGGAGCCTGTGCGTGGGTGGGGATGGGGGTGTCTCTAGAGAAGAGTCTATCGGCTTCTCCACTCCAGCTGCAGGCTGGTTGCCATGGTAGCAGGGTCAGAGGGCCCCCACTGCAACAGCTGATGCTGCGGCTGGGGGAGGGGTGGGGACCTGCCATCCAAGTCTGCTCCCTAGTGCTCTGTGCACCCAGGGCCCCAGAGGTGACCCCGTGCCCCCTAGGCTACTGTGCCGGGACTCAGACCCTAGCCTCCCAGGTGTTCCTGCAGGCACTGCTGGTGTCAGCCTCACTCCTCTGGGCCTTCTGCCCTCCACCCCTAGACGTCTCTCCTGTCCTCTTCCTCACCTTGCCCATCCCTCCTTGCCCCCCTTAAGTCAGAATCCCTGCCCTGTCACCACCAAGTCCCTCCTTCTCCCTCACGGCTGACCCCTCCCCATCTCAGACACCTCTCCCCATCCTCGCAGGCCCGAGGCCTCCCATCAGTCTGGGCTGGTGATAAAAGAAGGTTTGCCTGGAAATGGGAAGCCTTAAGGCTGGGAAGGCGGGTGGGACAGGGGGTTTTGTCTCCTTGAGATGGGAAGCAGAACAGAGCGATCCCAGGAGGGTGTGAGTGTAGACACAGGAGTACTTTTCTCATGGGGCTGAAGCCATTGTGGGGGGCTCCCTTCGTTTTAGGGGCAGGAGTGTCCCTACCCTTCTGGCCAGGGCCTGGCGCAGCTTGGAGACAGGGCCAGGTGAGAGCATCCTCATGGCTGCCAGGTGCGGGCACAGGAGCCTGAGGGGCCGTTCCTTCGTGGCCCTGCCTCGGGGCAGCTGCCTCTCCCCACGCAGCGCCTTCCCTCTGCGGTCCCCCTCCCCGGTTAGACTGCGGGCTGCTGGAGGCCGGGGGTTCCCGGGGGTCATTCCTGAGCTGGGACTGGCTGCCCTCGTCTGCTGGGGACACCTCCTGTCCCAGTCCCACCCAGGGGGAGGCAGGCATGACTCGATGGAAGGGTGTTGTCTACTCCTCAGCCCACCCTGGGGTCTGGAGAGTGTCGGGAGGGTGGCTCCTGGCTGTTGTGTCTCCTGTAGCCCCTGAGAGGAGCTATGTAAATATTTGCGCAGAGCTGTCTGGGAGGGAGCAGAGTTTGCTGGTGGCCTTGGGCTCTGGGGAGGGGGTGTGGGGCAGCAGGAGGGTCAGCTGGGGGTGTGAGATCGGGTGAGACGGGGCCTCTTTTCCACGCAGAGGTGGCTCCCTATGTGGTGTGACTTGAGAGGTTCCAAGAAAGCCCTTTCATGCTCAGATGTTTTCCCCAACGGTGCCCTGGATTGTCTCCCTTAGGGGACTTTGCACTTGGGTTGAGAAGGATCCTTTTTCTTTTTTTTTTTTTTTTTTGAGACAGAGTCTCGCTTTGTTGTCCAGGCTAGAGTGAGTGCCGTGGCGTCAGCCTAGCTCACAGCAACCTCAAACTCCTGGGCTCGAGTGATCCTTCTGCCTCAGCCTCCCGAGTAGCTGGGACTACAGGCATGTGCCACCATGCCCGGCTAATTTTTTTTATATATATATCAGTTGGCCAATTAATTTCTTTCTATTTATAGTAGAGACGGGGTCTCGCTCTTGCTCAGGCTGGTTTTGAACTCCTGACCTTGAGCAATCCACCCACCTCGGCCTCCCAAGAGCTAGGATTACAGGCGTGAGCCACAGCGCCCGGCCGAGGATCCTTTTTCTTTAAAAACACGTTGTCTGTCATTGCCCGCCCCCTTGTATATAGGTGGAAAATA